GCAACCTCCACTTCCCAGGTTCAAGTGATTCTCTTGTCTCAGCCTCCCAAGTAGCTGGTATTACAGGCATGTACTACCACACCCAGCTAATTTTTTGTATTTTTAATAGAGACGGGGTTTCTCCATGTTGGTTAGGCTGGTCTTGAACTCTTCCCTCAGGTGATCCACCCACCTTGGCCTTCCAAAGTGCTGGAATTACAGGCCTGAGCCACCATGCCCGGCCATGTTCCTGCTATTCTTTATTGACTTCTTCAACAGTGATGATCATTCTTTACTTTTTATTTGAAACTTTTTATTGAAATAAATACTGAAATAGCCCCTTCTGTTTATTTCTTGGTTCTAACATAAATATAAAATTTATATGTACAATTTTATATTTTACTTTCAAAAATATTTTTTATTTTTATTTTTTTGAGATAGAGTTTTGCTCTTGTAGCCCAGGTTAGAGTGTAATAGCATGATCTCTGCTCACTGCAACCTCCGCCTCCTGGTTTCAAGCAATTCTCCTGCCTCAGCCTCCCAAGTAGCTATAACTATAGTCATGTGCCACCACATTCAGCTAATTTTTGTTGTTTTTACTAGAGACAGGGTTTCACCATGTTGGCCAGGCTGGTCTCAAACTCCTGACCTCAGGTGATTCACCTGCCTTGGCCTCCCAAAGTGCTGGGATTACAGGCGTGAGCCACCGTGCCTGGCCCAAAAATATCTTTCAACAATCTTACCTGTTCTAGTACAGAGTTTACAGACTAGTTTCCTTTGAGCTGGATTGAGTCTTCAGATATATTTTGTTCATCATGCCTGATATTAACGCTATTGACTCGAGGTTTTGTTTTGTTTTTTTCTGTTTTTGAAACAGGGTCTCACTTTGTCACTCAGGCTAGAGTGCAGTGATGCAAACACCACTCCCTGCAGCCTCAACCTTCCGTGCACAAGGGGTCCCCCCGCCCCTCCACTGCCTCAGCTCCCTAAGTAGCTGGGACGACAGGCACATGCCACCATCTCTGGCTAATTTTTATTTTTTTGTAGAGATGGAGTTTCACCATGTTGCTCAAGCTGGTATCAGAACTCCTGAGCTCAAGCTGTCCACCTGCCTCAGCCTCCCAAAGTGCTGGGATTACAGGCATGAGCCACCATCTTTGTTGACTCATGCAGTTTTAAAACTGCTTTTTAATTAGTTCCTACATTTGGAAATTGAGAGAATTCATATTAAAAACTTGAATTTCTGGCTTCTCTTGAAAAGCCACATGGTCTTGAAACACTAGGTGTGCACTCTTCCATGACAACACTTGGCAGTGACTGGTACATTTAGATAGGCCATGCATTTTCTAGTATGCCACAATTCTGTCACTCGGTATCATCTCTCTGTGGCATATCAGGCTGTTTCAATCATTTAAGAGTTCTGCCTTGATGTTTATTCTAAGCTAATCCTTGCTAAAGCAGTCCTAGATGGAACTCTTTTGTTTGTTGCTAATACTATGTCTGTTTTTGTCTTACAGGAGAAGATGTATGGTCTTATGCAAAGGGACTTCCTCACATGTTTCAGCAGGGTGGTGTATTCTACAGTATTATGAAGAAAACCATGGGTATAGTTAATTTGATTTTATTCTTAACTAATAGCTCTACTTAAGCTATTTTAAGAGTAAGGAAGTTCATATAGTCTTGTGCTAAAATATTTTCAAAGTTAATTTTAAGTTTATATTCTTTAGCAGTTTTCCTACTTAAAATAGATTATTACCCTGACATGGTCACCTATGTTTTCTGCTAGTGTTACTAAAAATCTATTGCTTTGTTGCTAGTCTTTTCTTT